GATATTTTTTTCTGGTACTCACCAATACCGGAAGTCCCATTAAGGAAGCCAGGCAGCGTGTAAAGACTCGCCACCCTGCTTCCCGATCAGCAAGCGGGGGGTCGGGTAATGACTCGCTTTGGGATTGGGTAGGTGTTAGCCGAGTGTGCCTGGACCCCCACCCAGTCGATCTGATGCATCGTTCCCCCTGCCTGTACGTTTACATAACCATGTTGATTCTTGAGCCATGATGTATGAACTACTTTTGAGCCATGACTATATGCCCATAAGCTCCTGAAGAAGCGGTGGTGACAGCAAAACGCGTAGAGCAAGAAATATGCACCCCTCCATGGAAACCTGTATAGTCATTATTAACATGTACTTAGAATGGTATTTGTAGGCTATATTTATGGTTATTCTGGTCCAACTACATGATATATTGAGGGGTTGCGGGTCTATGTGAGGCAAAGGCTCATATACTTTTGAGTGAGACTAAACAGGTTGATGTTTTTATTTTGATCATGTGACTTTATGAGAGATTTGTACAATAAAATATTTTTAATATAAATTGAAGTGGCCATGGTGGTGCCTAAAAAGTCATCTGTTCTTTTCTTGTATTGCTCAGATATAAATAACATAAAAATCTGTTGATGCACTTCGAATCATTTATGTGTGAATAGCAAATGATAGTCAGGGAAAATTCAGAATTTCTTATTTCTGCACTCATTTTGGGTCAGTCACTTAGAAAATTCTGATGCCAAAGTATCATAAGGACAGCCTGCATTTTCAGGAGAGTAAGCAGTGGCAGACATTGTACAAGAAAAATTGCACTGTGCTCACGTTTTATCTCTGCTCTACATTACTATCTGGTATGTGCTCAACAATTTCTGCTGACGTGTTTAACCAAATCAAGTGGCTTCTCTTTTTTTGTACTGCTTTCTGTAACTCTGCATTTTTTATGTATTTGTGCTGATCTTGCACATAACACAGTTATTTTCTAGTGTAGTATATACAGTATGCCCAAATAACACAATCTCATATTAGTTATTATGCCCCTGCCCAACCTATACCGGCACACAAAACAGTTTGTTTAGTTAATATGCATGTGACAGCAAAGTGAGAACATTTAATTTGCACCTCTGAGATTGGAGCTTTTAAGTAACCCTTTGTTAGGCAGATATGTTTTTGTTACAATGGTTTAGTATACTTTTACAGGGAAGTGGAAAATACTCAAATCTTCACACACATAAGTAATCTCAGGAGAAAGAAAGATTGCAGGATTAAAAGTAGGATGAGGGATTGTCCTTTTTTAATAGCAGTTTGTAAATCTTCCCTATTATTTATATTAGGGATGCACAGATACTTTTCGAGTACCAGTGCAGATACTTGGCATTTTCATGAGAACTACCAGGGTTGCAGCGGTTGCAGCTGGGACCTGGCTCTGGTGCTCCACCACTGTCCTGAAATCATTAGTCTGTATTGTTTTAGAAAAACTGTCACATGACAATAAACAAAAATGTATCAGTACTAGTACTTCTCTAGTGTAGTCTTGGAGCTCAAAAGTATCGGTACATGTACTCGTACTTGTACCGAGTACTGTACTTGGTATCTGTGCAACCCTAATTTATATATAGAGTAGTTATATGTGAAATACTGTATATCCATAGTGGAAGGTGACATCTTGGTGACATAATATCATGCCGCTTGGGGACCTCATAAAATAATAGCTGGATGTCAGATAATAGAATATTGCCAATGCTCACACAGGCTAATTGGGTAAGATATTTCAGGTATTAGAGATGATGTTCAACTCATAGCTACCAGAGGATATATTTCACTAATAAATAATGGATTGGTTGATATGGGTAAATCATATTGCATAATTATTGCTCCTTAGACTGTCTTAAGGAATAAGCCTGCTGGGGTTTTCCAGGAAAGGCATGCCAGTGCTTGGGGTCCCTCTATGTCATAGCTTGTGAACTGTGAACTATGACTATTACATAAACGCAGACTTCACAACAGATGACAGTATGCCGGTCTGGTAGTATTGACATTTGCCAGAGGACTAGTCAGTCTTAGAGCCAGTGAACTGCTTAATGTTAATGTACTCTGTTATAATAAAACATCAATGCTGGCTTTAATCTCTATATATTATGTCATTGGACCCCTCCCATTCATAAACACTACTACTACTCCACCAGTCTTAGTAAAATGTGGTCATATACAAAAATGTGGCCTGAAGTGGCTTTTGTCTGGACTGCTTTTAATCTCTTTTTGACCCTTGGAATGGTTAAAGTGACACTAAACTCATCAATCAAATCTAAAAAATGCATTCATGTACCCTAACTATTAACAAAAATGTACTTTATTTGTGTATCACTCAGCTGTAGATCTTCAAATCATCTCTGAATTGGTGCTGACACTGTCCTTCCTTCTGGAGGGTGGCTACTTTTGTTCCCCATGGTCCCTGTGTGTTGTAAAGTAGTCACCGCACCAAGCTCACTGCTGTGATGGACTACAATCTCATATTTAGTTAGCTAATATTTATTGTGATTGTATTCCATCACAGGAGTGATCACTTAAAAGAAATTATCATGAGGGGACATACCTTAATACCTTAATATGTTAGCAAATGCTTACAGTGGTAGCTTCTAGCCACCTGCTGTTCCCAGGTCAGTAAATCCTCTTTGCAACATCCTTGCCAGTGATGCGACTACTCTGGGACTAGTGCTTGGCACACAAGTCAAAGGGGGCAATCGTACAGGTATTTACCAAGAACACAGCTTGTCTTTAAATGGGAATTTGGTGGAACATCACCCTTAAGCAATATGTCCTAGACAAAACTTATGCTCAGCATACAAGACGTGTGAGTCTGATATAACTCAGATAATAAATAATAATAATAAATAAGAATTTTAAAGCTGAATTCCAGTCACAGGCTTTTTTTTTTACAAACGAATAAGGCAAACAAAAAATGAACTCTTGTGATGTGTGTTAAATGCTTCACTGTGTCATGTTTACTTTATAATCCATTGATTTGCACCCGCATGATTATCTATGCCACGCCAAACTTTCAGGAGTTCAGTAATGGAAACCCATGTATTTCTCTATCAAAAGGCTTACTTTATTTAAAAAAAAAATTCTAATAAATCTATAAACTTAAAATGGAGAATGTTTATATCTGTCTAAAGTTCAGGTTAAATCTAAGAAAAAACAGTGTGGCTGCTTGACAATTGTCTTAGGACCCAATCAGATATATGTGCAGCCTTGCGGAGATTGTCAACCACACATTATATTGCCCACTGGCACACCATAGTGCATCAAAATTCAAACCTGCGCTATTATTTTGCAGCACAACACGACCCACAGTAGTTTGTTACCTCATGGTGTAGTGGGCTACAATACAGGTACATTGAGGGTGCTTTGGATTACTGTGTTTGGGTGCCATTCATATGGAATGGTCCTGCAGCACACTTTACTGCATTACGTGCATTGCCTTACGTTGTGCTAAAGTACTGCAACAATGTGCATGGGCCCTAACTGCACACCTTCCAACTGTCCCTGATTTGGGGGGACTGTCCCTCATTTGGAACCATATCCCTCTGTCCCTACTCAGTTGTCCCTCCTTTTGGTCTGATGAACAGATGTCTATGAAAATGTTCTATTTACCTACCAAAAGTGTTATTCCGCACTAAAAACGTCATCTCCTATTATTTTTGATATCTTAAGCCAGTATGTATGAAAAGTAAGGGTGAAAAAAACAATTCTGGGTTTAAAAAGCAATTTAGTTTTGACATAAAAATTACCCATATAACTGGAGGCATGGCAGAGGTGTATCCATTTCCTAAATGCATCATGCTGGAAGGCAGGGATGTCCCTAGCCTTTTCGCCAACTGAAGCGTGTGGGGGGTTGCTTGTGGTGCATGTTCCGAGGGTGGAGGCTGCTGGTGGTGCATGCTATGGGGGGTGGGGTGGTTAGCTGGGGGCTCGGATCATCTCGCCGCCCAGCTCTTGCTGCCCCCTCTCACCACTGTCAGTCCCAGTCCACTGAGGAACTGAATTGGGGAGCTGCAGGGAAAGGAGAGCCTGGTTGGAGCTTTGTAGAAAGCCTTCTCTGGCAGGGATCGGCTGGGAAACGGTAAAGGTGCTGCAGGCTGCTGAGGCAGTGGTTATTGCTCTGAGCCGCAGTCCAGAAGACCCGGAGAGCCTGGCCTGGGAGGTGAGCGCAATGATCATCTCACCACCCAGCTCTGGCCAGCGTTCCGTCCAGCTAACTGACATCACTGGTTGCCAGGAGCTGGGCAAGATGCAAGAGCATCTCAGGTTGCTAAGAGGACTTTACACATGTAGCAACCAGGGACGCACTGGCCGGAAAGGGGGTGGCAGGCATACTGCAAACATTGTGCAGCAGAACGGTCATGCTGCTCTGCCTCACACACCCCCACGGGACCCAAAGAGATGTCGCCAGAGGCAACAGCCTCAGGCTGCCTTATTATAGGGATGGCCCCGCTGAAAGGTGTTCCTCTTTCTCATCTCAGAAAATTAGGAAGTATGCCTAACAGACAAATGAAAGAACAGTCCTTGAATAGCTGCATGAGATGATTTTGTCCATCCACCAACCATTTAAATGATATATAAAATTATTCTTACTATCCACAGGATGTTTTTGTTTTTCTTGTTTTTTATTTTTGTATTAACATTTTTGTTTATACTGTATAAATATAAATAAATACATATTAGAAAATAGTATGAGAAACTTACATTATTTTGAAGACAAGTCTTCTTTTACTGGTTATTGCCCAAGATCTATTGTTTGGCAACAAGAAACTGTATGCGATTACCCTCTTATTTTTTCTGTCTTACTAATATAAATGATATAACATTGGGTGGAGGATCCCATTCGAAGGGAATGTGTTAAATACAGCTGAAAGTTCTATGTATGGTGAGAAAGGAGGGGTGTACCGCGCACAGCTCTTGAGCAAAGTCTTCAGGTGACACATGCTGGTGATTGTGGGATTAGGCGCTTTGCTTGCTATCAATGAATAGCTTGTCTTTGCTTTGTCTTTCATAGGAACTTGGCAGACTCCGGAGACCTGAGCAATCGCTGCTACAGGAGGAAAGACCTTGATTTTTATCTGAATTAGTTTACAATTAAATGGCTGATAAACAAATTAGGTGAGTAACATACCAGCAAGTGTTCTGAAATGCTTTTTGTGATGTATATTATAGCATAGAATGAGAGGCTTGGGTCATTGTAGGGGTTCGCTTTCTCTGATCATAAACGTTTATTTGTATAGCTGGGAAAGAGTCAGGAGATACCATTCCAAACGTATTACAGTAAACGCTCGGTTATCCAGAATTCAACTAATCAGAACTCTCATCTAACCAGAAACAAAATCCAGTTACTCATTGTTCTGTGGCATGTATTACCCGTGAAAAGATTGTGTGCCTATTTGTCTTAATTTGTTTTCAGTGTGTCTTAATTTGCTTTTGATTTCTGCATTTCAATATTAATATGAAGTCAATACAGAGTTTATGTAATTATATGGTATGGGGTATGGCATTAGTTAGACCTATTTTTTATAGTAACTCTCAAGCAACCAGAAAGAACATTTATCTGAAATATACCAATCGCTGTGGATGCCGGATAACGGGGAGTTTACTGTATATTGCAATATAATAGGCAATAATATATAACATCTGTTTCAGGACCTGATCAGTAATTCTGTATCTGTGTGCAGTCTAAGTTGGAACAGTTTTTCTTTCTTATCCTAGATCTTAGGTAAAGTGCCTTTTATTTTTCTTAGCAAAGAGATTTCAAAGTTCATAGTACAGCTCTATGACCCATGCAGTATATCTACAATCTTTTCCCTATTCAAGCACCATAGATGAAAAGCGTGGAACAGATCCATTAACAGTGGAGGAAAGGAGAAAACAGATGCACTGTTCACAACAACCAATCTGATTTAAAGCGACCTAAACCCAAAACCAAAAATGTAATATATTACAGATTACCGAACCTTAAATTTGGTGACTGCATTAGCTTTCTTTATTTAGACTTTTTCTCCTTTATCTTCACCTGGTGATCTGGCCAGTAACACACTACCTGTCAGAGGGTGGCTGCACTCTGTGGAGGAGCCACCCTATGACAGAAGCATTGTCAACCTTCGGAGAGGGTAGTGTAAGATGAACTAGCACATTTAGATAGAAATGACTAGCAAAATAAAGCTGAACTCTAGATAACACTTTCTAAGCAGTTAGAGCAAGTCCTTTATGTAATGAGGCAGACCAACCTACACCAGCCATCCAGAAATTCCTTTTGATTTTGCTTCTGATAGTTAATGAAAGGGTAAAGTTTTGTAATCCAGTCAAACCATTTTTTAAAACCTAGAGTTCTAAATACAGTAGAAAGATAAGCCACCAGCACACCAGGGTCCATTTTATCTTCTCGTAGTTTATTAAGGTCAGATAAACATGGTATCACATTTAGATGCAACATTTCAGAACCGTATATAGTCCCTTCATCAGGCAACAAAAGGTGTGACATGTGGGTAACAAGAACATTGGTAACATTGATCATCCCTGTGCTCTCCGCTCCTATAGGTGTAACACTCTCTCTCCATGTGTGAGTGCTGCTGTACAGAGGATTATGAGACGCCAGATAAAAACATATTCAGATATTTATACTAAATGTATTTAAATATACAATTAAAAAAATGAATGAATACATTGCTGGATTAAAGTGTGTTTTCAATATTTGTCTGGAGTTGCACTTTACTCCATAACTCATATTTTTATTTGATGGAGTCGCTCTCTTTTAGTCTACCCTAATGACTGAAGACATATCACAGGGCTCTTTCTCTGGCACACAGTTTTATTAATGAACAGGGCATTAGTTAGACAGACAGTAACTGATAGATAGCATTTTACTTCATCATTATGTTATTATTCTTTCTGCAGTTTGCCTGCCAAGCTGATAAATGGAGGAATAGCTGGACTGATTGGGGTAACCTGTGTCTTTCCCATTGACTTGGCTAAGACTCGTCTACAGAACCAGCAAAATGGCCAACGAATGTACACCAGCATGTAAGTAGAACAGTTACCACTGGCTCTTGCCATTTATTCTTCAGACCTATAATATTAAAAACTCTAAGGCTGGGTTCACGCCTGGGCGTTTTTCAGCACTGATCGAAGCGCTGAAAAACGCTCAAGAAGTCAAATCCTAGTAATTGCTATGGGCATGGTTCCCTCCTAGGCGTATTTCAGCACGTTTTGTCACGCTGAAAAACGCCCTACGCTCGAAATAGTACTTGAGCTTCTTTGGGGCGGATTTCAGCACGTATTCATTGGGCCCAGCCTTATAGATTTGGTAAACGTGCGTCAAACGCGCATTTCGTGGACCGCAAAATTGCTGTAAAGACGTGCGGGCAAAAGCGTGCATATTACGAACGCCCAGGTGTGAACCCAGCCTGACAGTGGTTGTTGTTTTTATAATTACATTCTAAATATCAGCACCTACTAGATTAGGCTTCCCTTTAAACACTGGTCTTTGATCGTCAAATGTGTCAGTGACAGTCAAAGACTAATAAAATATTTTTTGGATAGGGCTTTTACAAGACCATCTAAACAGACTGGATTCCAGGAGGAACTGATTTTAAGTCTGGTAACGGACAACCACAACTGATATTTCAATTTTAGACAAATGCTTTATATACAGTATTTTATGGATACCAGGGTGGAATGTCTGCCGCGCCCACACCTATACCAAGCAACATTGTCACAGTACCGCTGCTGAAATAAAGTTACACTCCAGTCAACAATGTACTTTGATATTTACATGGACATTGCAGTCTTCCAGCTCTGTGCTTAAAGAGACCCTGCCAAGTTTCTAAACAAACATCTCTTGTCTTCTACCTTCTTTCCGTTTCAGCTATGCAGCCTCCATCTTCGACATTCAACATTTTTAGGAGTATTGAATGCCTGCTGTCCCCGACTGTGTGCTGCGCTTCTTTTCTCCTACCTCTTCATTACTGCTGTGTCCTTTAGGAAAGTAGGAGGTCATGGAGGAAGGAACCATGGCCAGTGGAGGGGGACGCAGACATCCAACATTCCCGGAATGTCAAACAGACTGGTGAAGGCTGCAGTGCTGGAATGGAGGGAAGATAAGCAACATGGGCCACCAGAGAGGTATATATAGTTCTGTTGAAGTGAACTGGTAGTTTAATATGTTTGGAGACCTGACATAGTATCTTTAACAGGACATCTTTATCAGGACATTGCTTTAGTGCACCAGACTATCCCTTCCTAGAATGGAGCATAGCATGTAGTAGAATGCTGAAACAAAGAGTATCTGTGGTAAAAAACCAAAAATAAATATGTATCTCTATATTGACTCTCCATAGGTTCTATCCCAATCCTAATAACTAAGGATGCAGCGATACCGGTTTTTAGGTGCTTGCCGATACCGGGTACCGATACCAGTACTTCCACTACAATGGAGCTGGCTTCCCGAGCAATCAGGAGGCCAGGGCGGTGTGTCATTACCCGCCCGGCTTATTGATTGCCAGGGATGCCGGCTCCATGCTGTTTGGCCAGCTCGATGCTGATTGGCCGGGAATCAGCTTCCCAGCTTCCTAATTGGCTGGAAAGCCGGCTTCCTGGCCAATCAGGAAGCCAGCCTGCAAGTCATTACCCGCCTCCCGGCTTCTTGATTGGCTGGGAAGCCGGCTCCATGTTCCTTCGCGGCACTGCCGGTCAGAGGAAGTCTCCCTCTGTTCGGAAGGGATTACTTCCTCAATGCACCGACAAAAGTTTACTCACCTTCCTGAATATGCACTTCCTTGTGTCACTACTCTAACTAATCCTACCGGTTGAACTACAACTCAGTGTCTGAACTTCCTACATCATCATTTCTTGCTGGAAACAATGCATGGCGGGATATGTAGTCTTGAGAAATCAAGAATGCATCGCATCAAGCAGCAGGCAAAGAGATGCAAAGCACACTGGGAATCCAGGAAGTTGTGGAAAGTGATGGGCAGACAGAAGGCAGCACTCACTACATAAAAGTGAATTTTTTCAAGTAATATTTGATTGCATTATCAAAGAACAACTATAATATGCATTCCTATTACAATGCTGATGTTATAACAGGATAGTATATGCTGGGACTTTACAACTCCTTTAATCACTGATGGTCACACAATGCTCCATATTTGTGTGAGCAATCACTGCTACCTGTAACCATATGTGAATTGATGGGTACTGATTAATTATAGGCAATTAAAGTAGCAGGATTGTACTAGCAAACATCACCTGTATGTTCTAAGGGTTCAGTAAGGTGCTTTTTACCTTTGCTGATTCGTTGTATCGCAGCTGATCAGGGACTTTTCATGCTGTAATTTCAAAAGGTCAATAGGTATAAAATATTTTTGCCTTGAACATTACCTTCCTATGTCTAGACAAGTACATGCTCTGAAAGTTATCTATTAAGTAAGGATGCACCAATATATCGGCCACCGAAAAATATCAGTTGAAAATGGCACTTTTGGCAAAATGCAGAAAGTGCCATTTTTTGGCCGAAATAGCAGTGCATCTGTGATTTCTCACCTCCCCGCTTGGCGCTGCTCTGTGTCCCAACGGGGAGCAGAGAAACTGTCATAGGAGGCCGAGCGCCGTGGGCGGAGCCATCTCTCCTCCCACACCGATCAGCCTCCTGTCCCAGATCAGGAAAGCGGGGCTGTTGGCGGAGACAGCTATTGCTGTCACAGGAGGCTGAGCTCTCCTCCTGCACTGCCCAGCCTCATGTGACAGCTGTCAGGATGGAGAGCGGTACAAACACTCAGTGATCACTGAGTAATTGTAAATAATTGAGGACATAGTATGTTTACTGTGTCCTGAATTATGAATGCATGGTAAGTGATCTACATCACTTCCTGTTCATTTATGATTGTGGATATAGTAAATATACTATATCCACATGTTATGAATGAACAGGAACACTCAGTATAGAGGATTCCTGTTCATTTATAACAGGAGCTGCAGAAAAAGAAATTGAGGACTCTGTGTTCTCAATCTCTTTTTCTATTTTAAAAAGGAAATATCAGGGGTCTGTTTAGACTCCTAATATTTCCCTGAAGCCCCTAAAAGTAAAGTAAAACATAAAAATATCTAATAAAAATGAATAAATAAATAAAATATAAAAAAAATGCAAATGTTTATAAAAAATAAGTAAAAATAAAATAGTTGAAAAAAAAAAACATTTTCGGTTTTGGCCTGACATTTTTTTTCATTTCTGTTTCATTTCGTTTTTGACATTTTCATTTCAGTGCACCTCTACTATTAAAACGACAATAATGTATCAGTTATTACTATTGTACTGCATATGTAGCATTAGGTCAGATAACCTAAAAGTGACCATGTCTGCAAATTGTTGTGTATGTTTTCAGTTCTAAAATACAATCAATCTTAATAGTAATTAGGGAAGATGAAATGGAAGAAGAGACTGGGCAACCTCAGTGTTTTTTTTTACTTCTCCCAGGCTTTGACCTCCATTACGTCCTTGAGGATTGGAAGAAGTCATATGATGCTGAAACCACACAAAACATTTGATGCTGAGTTTGCACAGAAAGATGATAACAAAAAAAGGCTTTTAGGCCAGATCATTAAGCAGATAATACTTCCAATGATTTACTAGCAACAACATCATGTTAAGAGTATATTCTGTGGAAATATGCCACATGTAAATGTTAAACGGGATGTTTTCCTTTTGCAGTGTTTCTTTTAGATATAAATGTTAAAGAGGTCAGTGTGATGTAAGTACATTTTATCAGCATGTATTAAAGTAAACCTGAACTGAAAACTAATGTCACAAATTTTTCTACTAGAAAATATTTGTTTTGACCTTCTTTTTTCATTATATACTGTGTATATATGTATGTGTGTGTGTGTGTGTGTGTGTGTGTGTGTATATATCTATATATAGATATATAGATATATATAGATATCTATATATATATATTGGACTTTATATGATATAATCCAGGACCACACAAACATAAAGAAAATATGCAAACTGAAGTTGAGTGAAATGTTATAGGCAAAGGTTAGTTCACAAGTGGAAACTGTGAGCCATTTTTCCAGTGTTCTGGGCTGGACTTGTCTGGTGACTGGTCCTGACTCTGCCCCTTCTTGCAGTTCTGTGCAGGCAGCCTGTAGTGGGTGGGGGCCTGCTGGGTCCCTCCTAGAGCTCTGCTTTCTGCACAGGATATGTGCAACACAGTGATGATGTGCTGCTAATTTTAAAAGGTAATATCTGGATTTTTAAGGACATTTGGTGCATGTAAAGTGTACCTACATCCTATGTGACTACTGAGAATTATATTTGAATGAAAGTATTTGTGCCCAGAGTTCAGCACTAAATTAACATTATTTAGTGCTTATGCTGGAACATTATCACAACTGCTCCTATGTGTTGTACTGCTTGTAAAATATGCATAACATACAGCCAAGGTAAGAGCCACATTTCCAGATTTAGGTCAAGTTCTACTTAGGAGTGCTCATATACTGGCATGAATCAAGCAGATTCACATGTTTTGCCCATTTTCTAGGCAGCTTTGTAACTACTGTACACATTTGCATAATACTTTTGGAGAGACCCCACAAATCTTACATTGATTGACATCCAATACTTGGATCCTGCAGGTGGCACAGTAACTGTATATCAATGTGTCCGTCTTTTTTATTTCAGTATTCTGCTATGGGGATGTGGTGATGAGTAATGCCCAAAGTAATTTTGTACCATTTAGAGCAGGGGTAAGCATCCTCGGTACTCCAGCTGTGGTGAAACTACAAGACCCATGAGGGATTGCAAGACTGACAGCCACAGACATGGCTCCCCGGAGGCATGATGGATCTGTAGTTTCACCACAGCTGGAATACCGGGGTTGCCTACCGATGTTATAGCATGATGGGCAGATTAGTTCTAAGGTGGTCTTACTAAGGATTGTGAGTATCCCTTTTATGTGAATATTTATTAAACAAAATCAATCAGATCAGTATTAAATTTATTAACATGTCTAAAGCTGGTATACACAGAGGTGGAAAGGGAGAGAGAGAGATTCCTCTGGGGCATGCACTGAATGCTGGGGGTCAGTTAGGGATCATGTAAGCAGCCACCATTTTGATTTATTTTAGCAACTCCTGCTGCTGATGTTGGAACTCCCTCTTTGCTGTTCCAACACATACAGAAAACCTAATGTAAAAAATGTCAATTCCCATAGAGCTTCTTATAACCATCATTTAGATTTAAACCTACCTTGAAATTTTAAATATGACTGTTGTTGTTACACAGTAACGGCATGGGGAAGTACACTCCCTTGGCCCCCCTACTGACCCTTTATTGCACTGTGCGTGCTTATTCTGCTCGGGATTACCCGGCACTCAGATTAAGTAAAGTATATTGAGTGAACTTTCTGACCTAAGAGCAGTAGTTATTTATTTGATAAAATGAGTCGCTCAATCATTTCATTCACTTGTTGTCTGGAATTGCTTTTTAAGCTGATGATGCCAACTCAGTGCAGAGTTTAATGGGAATTGATGCACTCCTACCACACAACTGAGATAAAATGACTCTTGATCAAAATGTGACATGTAGTGTGCAGGACTGCCTACTTAAGATATATAAAACACCATGTTTGAATAATGTTCAGCTAATGACGATTGTTTCTTTATTTGCAGGTCAGACTGCCTTATTAAAACAATACGTTCAGAAGGATATTTTGGCATGTACAGAGGTGAGTAATATACTGAGATATATACATTATTATCAACACATATAATAAGGACTTGTTTATAAGAAAAGGTTTAAAATTAAGGTTTGTTTCTGATATATCAACACTAGATGAAAATAAATCCATATTGAAAATGCAGCTGTTGCCTCCAGCAGTCTTTAACATTCAATATTTAATCTGAGAGACAAAACTCAAACGGTTTCTCTGGAAACCTGTGCTGGGGTACCCTTCAAAAATTGCAGCCAGAGTGTTTGGATACTGACCCTACTGTGTACTACTAGACTAGAGAAACACATCTGTTTATATTGACAACTTACCTGCTTACTGCACTGAATGACATTCTGTGGAGAGGTTTGCTCCTGATTAGCGGTTGGGAAACAGCTAACCTAACAGGTACTTGTATTATATATGTCATATGTGCTATCTAATACTCATTTAGTGGATACTTGACTCTGTTGTCTTGCTGAATGCCCTCTGCTGTTAAGGGCCCATTGCACTATTTGGTGTTGGTATATGGCATGAATTGAAAGCAGCTTGGTTTGACCTGCATGGCATTGATTTGACCATTTTGATGTTGGGCCAAATGACTATAGACATGAATGTCATGGCCATGTAAAATACCTGTTGTGTCTCTATTCTGTATGATATGTACATTCCCACTTGTGACTAATCCTGCCTTCATGATATGTTTGAGTCACTTGACAGAAACATAGCAATCGCACTGTCATAGATGAAAGTGCACTACATTTGCATTGTGAAAATGCCAGCTGATCTTGCCTGTCAGTTTATTTTTTGAAGGAATTGGGCAGTTTTTCTAACATGCACATCCTGTATATGTCTGTAGTATGGGCCTTGTGATGGTTAAACCCCATCAGTTTTTTTCTTTTCTTTCTTTTTTCACAGACACAACGTGAACTGAGAGGATATGTCCCCAAAGTGAGGGGATATTCTCACTTAGAAAGTTGTCACTAGAACAGGTGTCCTACTGGAAGATCTCCAATCTATTTATGTTCTATGACAACTGTAGGATTTTGGATTGTCCATCACTTTCTGTCAAGTAACAATGGTCACCAGGACAGATAGAGATGGCGAATCACCCCATGGGGTTAGAGACCTATGCAAAATCTAACAAAAATTGGCTTTCTGTACAGTGTGAAAGCCTAACAGGACTAAAGCAACTGAAAAAATGTCTATTACACGTGACATTATGTTCAGACCTGACACTCCTCTGTTTAGGAATAGTAAAAGGGCAGAGGTTTGTACAAAAGGGAGTTTCCAAGAAGGAAAGGGAGCTTGTCCTAAAAAGGACATGAAAATATATTGGCAAATTGATCATTTTACTGTGGCGAAAGCAATGGCAAGAACTCTTTCTGTACACACGGATCATCATTTTTTCAAACAAAAACCTTCTGAACTGGAGGATTCCTCATCAGTGCTAATGCTTCTTTGTCTCCATACAAAAATCAAACAAGTTTCCCAAGGCTGTTCAGCTGAGAGTATTGATCCAGGAGGAACATTTTGAAAACATTTGACCACTCAGGGTCAGTTAACAATGCAACACTAATATAAGGTTTCCCTCATTACAGTTTTCATAACTTCTGTGTTATGTCTGGCTCACATTTACCTCTATTTGATGAGGGGTTGGCCCAGTTTCCCAAGGAAACTGCACCATGAGAGGCCATGATCAAATATTTATATTTCAAAAACAACAAAGATTTCAGAAACATTTGTGTTTATGAAAGTATGATTTCTGGATAGTTTTAAATTGTCCTACTTCACTTTTCAAATGTTTTATTTTCTATAACGTGCATTTGTAGAGTTACGCACTGTACATACTCTTTTCATTTGTGCTGACATCATGTTCCTTGGGTTTGGCCAAAGTTAACTTTTGTTTACACATTGAATTAATAATTATTTGGAATAGCCTTGTGCCAGTTTCCAAGTGTAGAAAAGTGATTATTCCGTTTAATCACCTTAGCAGTAATAAGTAAAAGTAATGTAGTTGCCATTTTAGTTGATTAAGTACTGTAGATACCTTTTGAACAATTCATGTACCAAAAAGTCTAGATGAAACACTTTTAAGGTGTCTACTGTAGATGCATAAAGAAAATACATTTGGGTAATCTCACATCTTAATGGCTCAGGTAAGCTAGATTCTGTCAAAGATAGTGATGAATCCTCCATGTCAGCAGTACACGTAGACCATTAGCACTGGGTGTAAGAATTGCCCTGTCTTTATCCTTGCACAAAACAGGGAGAGAGATAGAATTAGGCTGCATGGCAACTCCCAGGTTCTGTACCTCAGGCAGTCCCCACTAGCAACCCCTGACACATTGGCAACAGGTTAAAAGAAGCAGCATCAAGTTTGAAGGCAAAGGTGTAGCCAGGGACCAGGAAGAACATTGGTGTATGTGGCACCTAGGCTTATCCAGGAACCTGGCAAAAGATCAGGGCGCATGCCAAATAAGGTTATTCAAGGACTATTCTGGAAGATTATCAAAACTTACAGAAAATGACAGAAACCTTTGCACAGGCACGTTTACAGTGCACTGAAAGGCTTGTTAAGTTCCTGTGTAAGGTCCTCAAAGGTTCTAAAAAGGCTAGAGCAATACATTGTAGGCATCTAGCTATGGCTGCACAAACGTTCAAACATATTCTTGTAGTGCAGTTCTTATTTTCTCTATAGGTTTTAGGGTAGCCTAAAACCTATAGACCAGTGAGGCAATCCATTTGACCAGGGAGGCGATCCATCAAATTGATAGGTAAGTAATAAGGTTGAAGAGGTAAAAGCTGGGCCACCATTAGCTTTCCTTCTTTCTCACCAAAAATTCCAAACCAGTGGATAACAGTTGGTTAAAAATTCTGCTACATGATGATGTCGTACTGACATTTGTATGTCGTCACTGGAGACAGATTTCACTTTTAATTCAAACAATAAACTAGTTTTCACATTTCTCTTGTTGCAAAATCAGCTTTTCTAAATTAGAGACAACCTTGCTATCAGGTTAAGACCTTTTGGACTATAATTACCCACCCTAGATGGTCGAAAGATATGTATATTGTTATAAAAGGGATTTACACTTTGGTCTAAATGATCAAATTTAGGATGGCCATGAACAGGAACTCAGGAATCCATTACACATACTGTAGCCGTTCCCAGTGCCAGCCTTGTGTTGGGAACATTTTAACAATTAGAAAAGGGTTTCTATCTTCTCCAAGCAGTATCTTACCCGATATCTGTGGGCAGCTGCCCCGATCATCTCCTGTTCCCAATCAAAAAAGGCCTGATTGAGAGAGTTTGGTCTTGAGTTAATGAACCCCACTATTCTGTTGATGACATAAAGGGAGATATAGATTACATTACTAACAAGACCAATGTTAGCCCTGAAGTAAATAAATGAAATTGTACATTAATTGCAGCTGGCAATAAACATATTAGCACAGACCATTTTTATTCTTTCAATTTTTTAATTGGTACCAAAATAAAGCTCAACTTCTGGGTGGGTACCCCTGTCACATTTATTTACAAAAATAAAGTTGTGCGCATACTATCTTTTCCTGAATTCTTCTGTCAGGACATGTAAAGAGACCCTCTCCTCTCCTTTCTTCAGCAATGGGTAGTCCCGAGTGCTGCTGGGAACGGTCTCACTTTATAATGTGAGTGCCGTTCACAGCAGCATTCTCCTGTGAGTCCAATGAGGTTGAAAATACGTCCACAGAGGGGGTTTCCTTGATTTTCTAGGCTCACAGGAGGTGGGTTAAATGATGCTGGGTGTTATTAACTGGGAAGGGGACTATCACTGTATTGCAGAGCACTGCGTCTGAGGGAGGGACAGTGCTGGAAAGGAGGTGAGTATTGCAGTATAAGCTGCATTTTTTATTTGGAATGTGCACAGAACACATTTTTTTTAAAAAATAAAAATTTAAGATTTGCATTTGTACCATAAATATGCCAGAACAAAGTTCTTTTAAACATAAAGAAATGTTTGGGGTGCACTATGGACTGGATCCAATTCTGAAGCCAAGTCTAGACCATAGGGCTCTTTTACTAAAGTAATAGAGGCTTTTCATTGGCAATATGAATGTTCCCTATTCAGAATGTACAGTATGTTCACATTGTAAAGTGTACATTTGTAAATAAGTTAAACCTCGTTTAAGAAAATGTTTTTATTAACCCCTACAGTGGGGCTACCCCAGCAATGCAAGGGTTAATTACTTGTTCTTGTCAAGGTTATTAAAAAAAGTTATACCCACCCGAACTGTGTGGAGCCAGCTTGTTTTTAAACGGTCCTTCCAGCCTCTCTTCCCAGCTGGCTGGCTCAGAGCTTCTGGTGAGTATAACTTTTTTATTTTTGACAAAAACAAGCACTTAACTCTTGCAGTGCAGGGGAGCCCAACTGCAAAGGTTAATTATGTTTTTTCATGGAGTACTTCTTTTAATACCCAATTTGGTATATGGACATTTCTAAAAAAAAAAAAAGGTTTAAAATGTTTTTGATGGGACATGATTGCTTGATTGAAGTGAATACAACTCTACCTGATTTACTAAGCTCAGTGAAGTTTGCAAAGGCAACAGTCTTTACTCATTTACTTTATTAGTTTACTTTAGTAAATTAACCCCTGTGGCTAGGAAAGTTTGCCATTCAGCCATAGATTTAGTTTACTCTCTGAAGATCAGTTTATGTTCATAGGATACATCTTGCAATCCTAATTTAGAATACTACCAGAACATTTCTTGTTGGAGAGGGTATTACATAATTTGTTGGAGAGAGTATTACATAATTTTGATAAAAAGTGCTGAAGTTTAGGGTCGGATGAAATAACTCCATATTACATTGACATCAGCAGAATCGTCAGCAAAAATCAGGTTTAGGTCATGTGACCCAGATCCCCAGCACTGCAGGATCTCATTGTTAAGGTCAACAGGATGTTTTTGTTGATCCTGATATCCCTATTCTTTATTCTTCATGGTTCCCTGTTTTTTGTTAAAGCAAACCTATACTTTTGGTATGTTCAAAAAAAAGAACAAGTAGATTCTATTTCACCAGATACAGTCTGTAATTCTGAGTGTCAGCTCTATGCCCTTTTTATCAGATACTTTACCACAGCACTGAGCCCCTTGCTTCTCCCATTTCTTTTAATGGCTTACCGAATTGCCTTCTAGGACATAAAAAATAAAGTAGAGCTCTATCTCTGTCTATTTTATGCAATTGGCCTCACTCACACAAGGGGCATTGCCCCGTACAGCGTGAAGGGTCGTTTCCCGATGCGGACAGCTCATGTAACTCTATGGAAATGCAGAAGCTGTCCCTTCATGCTGTGCAGGGCAACGTCCGGTGTGAACGAGGCCTGAGGGTGGGATTATCACAACTGTCAGGTTTTTAATCCTCTCTTTGTCCCCACTCTACTAGTAAAATTGTTTTCATTGCTGTCATTGTTGGAAAGATTCTCTTAAATTTCTATCTTGTTGACACAACAGGAAGTGAGAGAAACTTCCAATGCAGACTGCAATAAAAACATGACAGAAGTACTTACCTTTCGCAGTTCGATCAGATAGTGAAAGAAAAACTTTTTCAGATGGCGTTCTACTTTAACTGCAGGGAGCTTCTGGACCTGGCTGTTTTGTCTGGCAGTGGTACCCAAATTGCACAAAAGAAATATAGAGCCTTTGGTGGTTAAAACATGTCATGTATGTATTTTATCTCCTAATGTTGCTGTTTGTGCGGCCTGGGTTTGCCTGGCCAGGTTTGCACAGTCTTGGTGTTGTAGTAGTTACAGCTTCTCTCAGCATTAAATTCTTCATTTCTCTCTGTAGGTGCAGCTGTAAATTTAACCCTTGTTACACCAGAGAAGGCAATCAAGTTAGCAGCAAATGACTTCTTTAGACAGGCTCTATCCAAAGATGGGTAAGTAAAGCTGGAACTTGTAAGACCTGGGGCATATTTAGCCCTCATTCACACTAGAAAAGGCCGACACTTACAGCTCTGTGCTGCGTTCATGGCCGTATCGTGCAGCTCCCGGAAAGGACAGGTGCTGCGTTTGATTAGTACGTAGGCCCCCGTCCTTCTCTATGAGACTACACGCCTGTATGCCGCCCTACCCTCACCCCAAGTGCAGGTCCGTACGGGAGCGTGTTTCCTGGCTCGGACGCAGACGGGATCCATCCTGTCAGCGTACGAGTACGGACACCCGCATGGACGTGCAGGGCGGGTGAGCGTAGGGCGGCGAACGGCCGCATACTCCCATAGAGAAGGACGGGAGCTGCATACTAATCACACACAGCTCCTGTCCTTCCCAGGAACTGCCCGATACGGCCGTGCACGCTGCACGGAGCTGTATGTGCCAGCCTTTTCTAGTGTGAATGAGGGCTTAAAGAGCAGTGTATCTGACATTCAACAAACATTTGCTGCAGGTGAATATGAGAGAGAGAGAGAATCTAAACAGAAAAAAAAACCAGATGCAAACCGTGACTTGATGGATCCTGGAAAGATCTGGAAATAGGAATGAGACAGATGGAGAAGAGGTGGAAGCACAGAATAACAAGGGGAGGCTGTTTAAACAGAGAGGACACTCAGCATAACATGCAGAGAGGAGAGAGAAGAGGAGAAGGGGGAGTTTATTACAAGATGGTGTCAGAAGAAGATATTTCATCAATAGAGGATATATGTTCAGTAGAAGGAAAATAAAGAATCAGTTCTCATTTAGTAATTTTAAACAGCATAAACAGTTTTTGACGCATGCTTAGGGCTCATGCACACATCCATTAAAAAAAAAAAAATACACAGCTTTTTTTCTCAGTACTCATAATTTTTTTGTTTATTGATCCGAATGCAGATGTATTGTTTTCTATTACACCGCAACCTTAACATTACTTTATTAAGACAACTCGAGTGATTGTAACAAACAGTAAAAACAGATCAGGTAAACCTTCCTTTTTCTACGAATTCAGTGATGGTTGCATGGCCATTGCTAAAACTCTGTTCAAACAGTTGCTGCCTATAGGGCCTGACATTCAGTTCTGATTGAGAACTAATCCTGTCCATCAGCAGAGACCACATGACCAATGCCTAGAGAATGATCATGTGACATTTTCTCTGATTGGTCTTTTGTTGAAGTCACTCAGCGTGATTGTTTTAATGAAGTAATGCTAAAGTAAATGTGCAGGTCCTCTTTAAGGTGACAAACATTGTGAAGCATTGCTGTACAAAGGGCTGATAAACAGAATTTGGAGACCACATGCAGTACCTAACTGTACTCAGGCCCTTAAATGAATGCGGCCCTTCAAGGCTTAACTAAAATTAAGGTAAAGTGAGCGCACACATTCAATATAAAATGCAGGTGAATGAAGGTTTGTTTTTTTCTTTTCTTATAAAAAGAAGGTGAAGTGAAACTCTGTTTTTTTACAAAGTAAATGTGATGTTATGTTCCAAATAAAGTGGGAGAGAACTGAGTGTGTGCTGGAGAAAAAGGGAAATGTGAAGTGCAAGTGGTTTCAAGTGCAAGAGCACTGAATGAGCAGCATAAAGCCAGGGGTACTGAATGAGCAGCAGAAAGCCAAGGGTACTGAATGAGCAGCAGAAAGCCAAGGGTACTGAATGAGCAGTAGAAAGCCAAGGGTACTGAATGAGCAGCAGAAAGCCAAGGGTACTGAATGAGCAGCAGAAAGCCAAGGGCTCTAAATGAGCAGCAGAAAGCCAAGAGTACTGAATGAGCAACAGAAAGTCAAGGGTACTGAATGAGCAACAGAAAGCCAATAGCACTGATTGAGCAACAGAAAGCCAAGGGCACTAAATGAGAACATGTAGGCTGCAATATATTAAATTTTTTGGTTTCGTTTTTCTTTAATTGTGAGAGATGGATGGAGAGAGAAAGAGAAAGAATTCCCCTTTTCCAGCCCCACACCTGTTCATTGTATTTACACAAAGTGACACATTCATCATCAGGTTTTCTATGGAGATGGTAAATGCTTTCCTGTGAATTAGATGGTGGGAGGAAGGTCCTTTGTTAGGTGTATTAGGAAGTGGAGAAGTATGAGTAAAAAGAAGGCACAGGGTGTATAAGAGGTACAAGATAGAGGAGAACAAGCACATCATTAGTATAGAATGGGGGATAGAAGACACATCTTATATAGATACTGTATGTTTGTGCAGGCAGATATTTGTCTATTGTTCAGTTAAAGATAACACATACCTTCTGCTACTTTCTACCTAAAAACCATTTGTATTGTAGCAGACAGCCACATGAGCGAACTAGAGATTAACCTACCCCAGGCAACAAGGAAACATGTACTGGAAAATAAAAGCTTGTGTATGCTATTATATTGCGGCAGACGTGGCTCTACTTATTGCTGCCACCTGATGCTTGTGTGCAGTATTGCAGTTTTATTATAAGAGAATAGAAAAATGTGCATGAAGTACTTCATAGCAGTTTTTATTAGTTTTTACATCATTTTTTTTAAACCAATAATTTTAAAAGGTTAAATATGTCCTACTTCAGAAATGGATAGAGGTTATATTCACATTATTCTGTAATAAAAGTGCTAAAAGAGTATGTGAAAACAGCTTCAAAAGTAAAAGCAATAATTCATATTATATGGTATGGTTTATCTTCAATGGAAAAGCGTGTTTTAAGCATTTTTGCGCATTTTGTCACACAACGTTTCCCATTGAAGTCTATGGGATCAAAAAGCGCTGCAATCTGCCGAAAAGTAGCTCATGTACTTTTCCCTGCGACAGGCATTTTCTGCTTGCAACAAAATGCTCAGGTGTGAACAGGGGTCATAGAAATGAATGGGATTCCTTGTCTTGAGCGCTTTGTCGTGCTGAAGACAAGCCAATGGGATTCCTTGTGTTGAGCGCTTTGTCGTGCTGAAGACAAGCCAATGGGATTCCTTGTCTTGAGCGCATTGTCATGCTGAAAACAAGCCAATGAGATTCCTTGTCTTGGACGCTTTGTCGTGCTGAAGACAAGCCAATGGGATTCCTTGTATTAAGCACTTTGTCGCGCTGAAGACAAGCCAATCGGATTTCTTGTCTTGAGAGTTTGTTGCGCTTAGCTTTGTGCGACAAAACTCTTAGGTATGAACAGGGACTAAAGTTCGGCACATAGAGGTGAACCAGCCCCATAGGAATGAATGGGATTTTTACTTATAATCAGAGGCGTATCTATGGAAAATAACGCCTATGGCAAGCACTGAAATTGTACCCCTTTCCAAACATCCCATTGCATACCTGTATTTTAGATACTGTTACCATAATATCACCTCATGGATGCAAGTCAAACTTGTTAAAGTTGAGCGCTTTGTCGTGCTGAAGACAAGCCAATGGGATTCCTTGTGTTGAGCGCTTTGTCGTGCTGAAGACAAGCCAATGGGATTCCTTGTCTTGAGCGCATTGTCATGCTGAAAACAAGCCAATGAGATTCCTTGTCTTGGACGCTTTGTCGTGCTGAAGACAAGCCAATGGGATTCCTTGTATTAAGCACTTTGTCGCGCTGAAGACAAGCCAATCGGATTTCTTGTCTTGAGAGTTTGTTGCGCTTAGCTTTGTGCGACAAAACTCTTAGGTATGAACAGGGACTAAAGTTCGGCACATAGAGGTGAACCAGCCCCATAGGAATGAATGGGATTTTTACTTATAATCAGAGGCGTATCTATGGAAAATAACGCCTATGGCAAGCACTGAAATTGTACCCCTTTCCAAACATCCCATTGCATACCTGTATTTTAGATACTGTTACCATAATATCACCTCATGGATGCAAGTCAAACTTGTTAATTTTTTAACTAACAAATTAAGGCACTGCATGAAAATTGTAACTGTACCTTCCTTGCTTTCAATAATGCAAATTGGTCCCCCAATCACCTCTACACCAATTATATAGACCCCCTAAACTTTATATGTATCCCTCTATCCTATATATAGTATATATCCCCCTTATATCATAATGTATGATATTGGGGTGTATATATATATAATAAATATATATATATCTATATATATAGATATATATATATACAGTATATAGATATACTGTATATATAGATTTATGTATAGAGGGGTATATATGGATTATAGGGTGTAATATAGTAAAGAGGGGTTATGAGGGTATGATGAAGATATGTATAGTGGAAATGGCAGTGATGGGTATATATATGGCATAGAGTGGTATATATGATCCGTAGGGGGGTATATATAACTAAGTCCTGGGATTAGGAAAACGGCACAAGGAACCAATCAGTTATGCTGTAGTGCTCATGTGCTAACAAAAGACATTGTGATGGGAGGAGAGAGCAGAGTGACAGAGAGATGAAGCACAGCACAAAAGTGGCAAGCACACATACCTCTAACTGCCACCCCCTCCCAATCAGTGTCGGCAGTTGCCGTTGGGGCATTTTCCACTCCTTTGTGATACATAGCTGCAGGGCAAGGAAGACACCTCTCCACAACTGACTTGGTCAGGGTGCAGAGTTATGAGCGGGCTTGGGTGAACTTACGCGAACATGGTGAGTTCCCACCAAGCCCAGCCTCATCTCTACTGGCACTGGACTAAGCAGAGATCAGCCTAAATCAGGGGTAGGCAACATCAGCATTCCTGCTGTGATGAAACCACAAATCCCATCGTCCCTCCCAGGGAGTCATGCCTATGGCTGTCAGAGTCCTGCAATGCCTCATGGTACTTGTAGTTCCACAATGTCTGGCGTGCCGAGGTTGCTTATCCCTGACCCAGAGTATGTGAGCTGTATTGTGGCTGTGCTGGATGGTTATGCTTTACGTTTCCGCACAAGCTGGCGCTAAACAACATTTTGATAATTGAAATGGCCAGTTATCAATCAGGAACTGCAATTCAGAAACCAGTTTTGTCGTATTGAGTTCCCTATTTTACAAGCCCAATTAGACATAGAAAGCAGATCCATAGCACAGATTGGGCAGCCACCTGCTGCAAAGCAGCTAATAAGTGTGTGCAGTTCCATTAATTAAACAGGCTGAGAATAGATTCTGGCTCAGCGTCCTTGGTGAGAAATGTACATAATATCACAATGACTCAGCCCATAAATTCCATGCAACTGGAACACACTCTAATCACACTGACTGAAACTATCTTGTTACCATGTGTTGTCTCTCTCTTCTCTCCTCTCTGATATGCCCACTGTCTTTCTGTGTTATTAAGCTGCACTTAATAGTGTGACCCATTTTTTCTTAAAGAGGGCCTGTCACAGCCAGCACAGCATTACTTGTTTGAACAGATACAACATATAACCAAACAAGCACTATAGTTACTGGGTGGAATTTATCAAAACTGGAACAGACAAAAACTGGAGCATATGTGCATGACAGCCAATCAGCTTCTGTCTTATTTTCAAATCTTAACTGAACAAATTGAAGGGAGAAGCTGATTGGTTGCCATGCACAGCTGCTCCAGTTTTTGTCTGCTCCAGTTTTGATAAATTCCCCTCATTGTGTTTAATCCTTATGCTTCCAAGGGCTCATGCACATATTAAAATACTGCCATCTACGGAAGCTGGCAGAAAAATCCAGCATAAAAAAATGCTTGTTTTGGTGCGCGCTACTAGCGTTTATGTGCGTAACAGTGATTTAACTACTTGACAACCAGCTCATCAGAAGCACGTTTATTTCAACATGCCACAAATAAGGTGACTGCGAACAAATGGTCAAATCGTTTAGCTGCAAAAATTTATTGGATGCTGTGCGCATGATCAATCATTTCCTTTGCGTCACATTAATAGGAGCTGATACACAAGAGATTTGCAGCTGTACAATTAGGTAATTGATGTCCCACCAACATGCAATTTAGCTGCGTAGCAGAAGGAATTGGTAATTAACATTCTGTCCTCCATAGAATTTAATGTAGATTATACTGCAAGATTAATGAGACCACTTTCTTAACAATTGTCCAATAATTTCCTGAAGTAGCACTAAAGTGATTTTTCCTTCAGGGGACCTGTGTAGTCTCTGCGGTTACAAATTGCCAATGTACCCCTAACCTTAGATAAACTGCATTGCATAGACGTGAACAGTGCTATGGGAAGGAGTGAGATTTCTACTTGTATTTTTATGCAGCAAAATGCATGAGTTTTGCACATTAAAATGTATAAATTTGTATTGTTGTTATACATGATTTAGTTTGTTTTCTAATTGTTTTCTATACAGGAAGCTGACACTGTTTAAGGAGATGCTGGCTGGATGTGGTGCTGGCACATGCCAAGTAATTGTTACCACCCCTATGGAGATGCTGAAAATCCAGCTGCAAGATGCAGGAAGATTGGGTAATTCAGATAACACTCATACAGAATAAATCCTTTACTTTTTGTTTAGATTTAGAATCTGAGAGTTTTAGAACCTTTGTCCAGTTTATATTGCTGTCTGCATCCGTGCTGGGGTGATTCACCATCTTTTTGCTTTGGTGACCGTTGTCACTAGAACAGAAATTGAGGAAAATCCAAATGTTTTACAGTTGTCACCTTAACAGCAATAGAGGAGAAATCTTCCAACGGGATCACCTATTCCAATGACAATTGACTAAGAAGGGATTTCCCCCCACTTTGGGAAGATTTCCTCTCACTTCCTGGTGTGTCTCTAGTAAGAAAGTAAAGGGAATCTGCCATTATCAGTAGGGCTGCACCGATACCAAGTACCATACTCGGTACAAGTACAGATACTTTTTGAGCTCCAAGACTAGACTAGAGAAAAATTCAAAAGTTAGGAGGCAGCTGTCATTTGTAAGGAGCACACGGAGCTCCTGGGATTTGTACATCTCTGTTTTAATGTATGATTTTGTTTTTATAAATATATAGAAGGGATGCACTGATACCATTTTTCCAAGTACTGATACTTGCCCAAGTACTTACATATACAAAGTACTGATAAATTTTTGTTTATTGTCATGTGACAGTTTTTCTAAAACAATATCGACTAATGATTTCAGGACAGTGGTGGAGTGCCAGAGGCAGGTCCCAGCTGCAACCGCTGCAACCCTGGTAGTTCTCATGAAAATGCCAAGTATCGGCACTGGTATCTGAAAAGTATCGGTGCATCCCTAAGTATAAGCCAATGGCAGTGTAACTTTGCTGTGTTTACATGCAGAATGTCTGTGTCTACACTGTAACTGCAGACTCGGAGGAAGAATAAGGAAAGTTGTGTTTTCCACATACCTGTTTGATTTAATGGGGTTGATTTACTTACATAGAAGTACCAGAGTAGAATCTGTTCACTTAGCATTTACTAAAGACTTAATGGATGTAAATTTAGCTTATTGAATAAGGTGAAGCTGCATTCTCTTCAATTACCCAGTCATGTGCAAGGACAAATCCTGTTTCCTTTGCACATGGTTGGGTATTCAAGGTGAACACAGCTTCAGTGTATTTACAAAATCTAGTTAGCTTTCATGTTGTTAAGTACACATTCACTTTACTCGTTTAGTAAATTAACCCCAATTTATTTTGTCTAGCAGTTTGTGATCCCCATTGACTGCATAAGTACCCTGCAGTATAGAAATAAACATTTATGGACGCTAGCAGTAAAAACATGAAACATTCAAATTAAGCAGATGCCTTCCTTGATCTCAGTTCTTGTCTACAGTTACATTAAGATGCTGATGAGCTGTAGATAAATGTTTAGGTAGATGTTTGAAATGTGCAAGGATTTTTACAACTGAACTCCAGAGAGATATAAAAAAGCGCGGTTTATTTTTTACATACAATTTACAATATATTTTTTACAAAATACTAGTCATAATTTTGCCTGCTGTCATCACCTACACAGCAGACGGAGGCACAGCACTGGGAGCCAGTCAGACGCTGTTGTATGTCCAAGTACTGAAAGGGAGCATGCAGGCAGGTGGACAGAGCATAGTCAACAAAGTTGGCGACTTATCACTGTATTCTTTTACTCTAAAGGTGCCCATACACTGCACGATTCTCGTACGAGAATCGCGGGAAATCCCGCGATCGTACGAGAATCGTGCAGTGTGAATGAAGACGTGCGACCGTTTCTACTGTACGGTCGCACGTCTTTTGTCTAAGGAGCATGCTAATTTTTCTTAACGGGCGGACGGCAAGAGGTTAAATTACTTTACAACCACCACAAGACTAAGGTCTTGCGATGGTTGTGAAGTGTATGGGCACCTTAACAGAGACATTTTTGTCACACTCCTGCCTGCACTGTGAGTTGTATGAATCACAAAAGTGGATGGATAAAGTTACAAATCCTTTGATAAGACAAGTTGACATATGTTTACTTCAACTGTGTTTTCCTAGAATTCCACTTTTAAAAAGAACTGTCATGAAAATATGTAAACTTTTTTAAAATCCCACAGGGGACCAAGTGCATACAGCACGTGGTCCCGTTCTGAACAGTGGCTTCATTACAGATACAGATAGATCACACAGATTGATGTTTTACTGTAATAAATAAATAATCAGCACTGTCACACAAAGTTCCATCTCCTTGCTAGCAGCGTGTTCGGACAGCGGTGGGTAAACTGAGCAAGCTGCTTAAAAATGGCAGGACGAATTTGATCAGGACGTTCTACATGCACGTGCTACATGCAGAGAAAAGGTAAGGTACACTTAGACGTAAGATGCAGATATGTGATATGTACAGTAGCTCACACCTCACTATTTTGTGTGCATTAAGGCTCATTTAGCGTTTCTAACCTACACTCAGGGGGCCTTCAGCAAGCTTAATAAACCATTGATAAGGATTCCCTTTTGGCACCCATGTTATTAACCGCTAAATACAGTAACATTTTGTTATTACTTGTGTTTTGGCAGCTGCTCAGAAGAAAATCATGGCCGGACAAGCAGGAGCAAACAGTGGAGCAGCAGAGGCCAGTCTGGCACGGCCTACAGCCATTGCAATCTCCCGGGAACTACTGAGGAGTAAAGGGATAGCTGGATTGTACAAAGGTCTGGGAGCTACTCTTTTAAGGTAACTAGAACATAAATCCAGAGATAAACAGTAAAAAATAGTGGTGCTCAGAGCATGAATAAAGTTTTTTTTGTAAGATGGTAGCTTATTCAACCTCTAGATATTGACTGCCCTTATCACCCAAGAAAAACTCAATAAAAACAACTTGTAATAGGTTGAATGCTCACCCAAGAAAGGTTCCCCTTAATCTTTGTAAAAGCAAATTGCAACAAATGTATACAATTGTCTCAGTCTCTATAGTAAGTTAAAGGAGCCCCAGGCAAAGGTAACGATTGTATCAAGCAAAGGTTTCCCTTCAAAGGAGAACTATGAGGCGAGTGAAAATCCCTCAGCCTCATAGTTCTAGCCGACCTGTGACAATGAAACTGTCACAGGTCGGCTCAATAGATCGGAAGGTGAGCGAACACATACCGTCGCTCGCTCACTTCTCGATCTTTCCCCGCAGAAAGCCGTGACTGTCACTCACGGCTCCCTGCAGCGATCCCCCCCTCCCCTGTCCGATCCTCCAGTGTGGGTGGATCTCGACAGTAATGTCGGGATCTGTCCCGGCTGCGGCGTCTCAGTATACCGCGAGCTGTAGCTCACGGTATACTAAGCTTTGGGTGATGGGAGGACGCTAGTTTGTGTCCTCCCGTTACCCTTAGGAGAACTATGGGGAAAAGCCCCGACCCCATAGTTCTCCTTTAACTGCATATAACAGTGAATGTATTATTTATTACCAATAGAGAGTAACGATAACTGTGTCAGACTCTAATATGGGTGAAAAGGGGCTGACAGGTAGAAGAAAACAAAGGTGACAATGTCTTCAGATAAAATGGAATCACCCAGATGAAAGTCTGTGCATGTGCAGCTTCCTCCAGAGAGTCTGTTCCCCGCTGACCACAAGTTGACACAGCTCTTGTTCCCACATCTATACAGTGAGCCACAGGATATAACTTTCGGCAGCCCTATACCGTCTAACAGCACTCTTTGAGGAACTTTTTAAGCCTTGCTCAATTACACAGATTCAGGCAGCATAAATCTTAATTGAGAGGTAATCTGCTCCACATTCTTTAATTCCATGATTCCATTTAAATCTGGAGGCATTGGCACCTTTGCTTTCTTCTACCTGTCAACCACTTTAAACCACATTAGAGTCTGACATGGTTGGTGTGACCATATTGGTTATAAATTATACACTCAATGTTATTTCTCATGCGCAGTCTAAGGGAAACCTTACAGTTATTGTTACAATTATTACCTTTGTCTGGCAGTCTCTTTCACCTAAAGTGATGTTAAAGTCAAAATGTTTTTAAGCTATTTCAAACGCTGAATAAGTGCTGATCCACATCAGATGCGTTGGGGCAGTACTGGCTGTTTCCAGCACAGCCCCAACGTAAGACAAACCAATTTGGCTTGTCACAAACTGGATCAGTTCACACAACCACGTTGCGATGGGAATGCGGTGGTGTGTGCTGAAAAAAGTACTTTTTTTCAGCACAGCAGGATGTGACACAGTACAAGTGCCTCGCACCCCAGTGTGCCTGTAAAACTGAACAAAATGTCACTTGTGAGATTTCAATAAAGTTCTTCCAAAACAAAAAGAACACCATGCAATGTGCCAGGAACGCCACACCTTCATTGTGTCAGGGCACCGCACACTAGACGCTGTGCAAATAATGCAGCATCTGGTGTAAATTGGCCCATAATGACTTTCAAGTGATGCTGCTCCTTGATGTTTAAATGTTTAATTTACCTGCAGAATCAGCTGGTCCCCTGAACACTGGCTTTGATATTCTGTTTTAGGGTGGCTCCTTTCCCTTGCAGGGTCCTATGGAGCCACCCTTGTATGTGCTAGTAAGCTGCATGTGTCTCCACAAACACAGCTCCCCTCTCATCCTTCGCAGGGCAATATATATTTGTTTGATCGGAATTCATTATTGAAAAAAAGATTGAGAGTTTAACTTTACTTTAACATAGGAACTGAGACAACTTTATACATCTGTTGCCATTTGCTTTTATACAGATGATGGGGGTTCTTTCTTGGGTGAGCCCTAAAACCTCATTATTACAAGTTGTTTTTGTAGAACATAAATGCAGTTTTGTTGTACACATATTCAGGAATATATTGTATATCTGGCTAGACAGAAGAAGTAAATCAGCTGTAGTTTGTATTATGTGGAATGTAACCCAGTATGTATTATAACACAAGGCCATGAACCAGGCTTAGATTAAGGACAACAGTTTGTCTTGGATACAGAACACACTTACTGATGGACGCAGATAAAATAGCAGCGCTCTATATATGGAACAGAATAACTCTGTGTTACAGCCTGCCAATACAAAATAACTGGACCAAGCCTGTGATCATGTGCTATGTAATTCTGCCAGATTGTCTACACACTCTCACACCTTCATCTGCGCCGGCATCTTTTGTCAGCGATTGCAATGACTTTTAAAGCCAGACAACAAAATTGCAGCATAGTGATAAAAACCATAAAATGCACCTGTCACTGGCAGACAAAGACTATCAGAATAAGGCGTCTTGAAGCCATTCGCTCTTTTTGGAAAAACAACGTTAAGCTCAACACACCTATACACTTTCCTCATGCATGACGTTAACCCATTTACTACCAGGGCTATTTAATTATTGTTGGAATCTGACTAATAAATGGAAATAAAATGTACATCCATGCCCCAAACATGAAACATATACCTAATACTTTACATGACCCTAACATTTAACCTATGACCTGACCTATGTTCTTAAAAAGGTGCATAGTTTATATATTCATCCAGTGAAGCTACAGCTAAATTAGTTTGGTGAGAGTTAATCAACTATTGTAAGATTTGGGCAAAAACAAATGTTCTTCGTGTATTTTCTCTTCTGGTGGAGTGTTCTTCAGTAGGTTAATTCATACGGAACATAGTGAATGGGGAAGATATTGCATTATGGCCACTAGATGTAGCTGAGGATTATAGGAAATAAATGCATTGTATCTCATTACTAACATGTATTTATTTTCTATTATCCCCAGCTCCATCTATTGTTCATAATGTGCTCTACATACTTACTATCTAAATGCATGCTTGCTAGCATTGGCAACATGGCATTTCTTAGGGTGGGTTTCTGGATGGTGACAACAAAGGATCCTGCCCATGTAATGTGCATCATCAAAGCTGCTTGTAGTCTCCACTGGAAAACCATGTGACAGAGTAGAAGAACAATTGTTAGAACAGAGGGTTGTCTCTCTATAACAGGAAGTGCCCAAGACATGAACCTTCACGGAAGGATCACCAGGCATAATTTTAATTAATTTTTCAGATTACAGTAATAAAATATTGAAAATGACTTTTGAAATTACATTAACGTGTTAAAGTTGATATGATATTTTAATGACTTGGTGTACATATACTTTAATCAGTGATCTTATAGGCCTCAAACCTTTTTTCAAAAATGCCGAATACCTTTATTTGTCTGTACCTTCATACCATTATGTCTGCAACTTGGAGCGTGTACAGTAGGGTTTGTACATGCAGCATTCTCCTTTTCACCTAATTTATTCCGTCTTTAGAGGTATAAGAAAAACAGAGGACCATGTGTAGCTCATTGTTCTGTAATCGGCTACAGACTTGCGGCTACTCAAATTGCTATCAGTAAAACATGACTTTGGGAAAAGAAAAGTTAAAACAGTAACATATCCTACTTCTACTTGTCATTTGCCATTATTTACTAGCAGATTTACAAGATCAGTAATCAGTAATCTTTGTGAGCCTTTCTGCTCCCTTTTACATAGTTACATAATCACATAGTTAGTCAGGTTGAAAAAAGACACATGTCCATCCAGTTCAACCTATAAATATGGAGAGAAAAAAAGCAAGAAAAACCTAAACTCAATGCTATGCCCACAATTACCCCCTGTTGATCCAGAGGATCAAAAATAAAAACATGAAATGTAGATGAGACAGCCTTGTGCAAATACATTGAAGAGACAACTTCTTAGTTCCATTTAGGGTAACTATGATAAATATTGGAAATAAAATGTATTATTATTATTACTATTATATTATTAATAAAGTACTTGTTTTATCCTCTTTAATCTAATCAGCATGTTTTATTCTCTTCAGGGATGTACCATTTTCAATAATATATTTCCCCCTCTTTGCCAACTTGAACAAACTTGGTCAGAAAACTCCAGATGAGAAATCTCCCTTCTTTGTGTCTTTCCTTGCTGGCTGTGCAGCAGGGAGCACTGCTGCTGTTGCTGTTAATCCATGTGATGGTAAGTTTTGTAGGGTAGTGCTGACACCATAGAGGGGTAGTCACAGATTACATTGCAGCCTGTGCCAAATGTTGCCATTGTTGCTGCTTGTGCCTTTAATATACACACATTTGAATCACAGCACTGCAAAAATATAAAACACTGTATTCATGTGAAATAATCAGTAGATGGTACAAGTAGGTGCACTGAGAGATGCACAGTCAGGTTTTTTTGCAATTAAGTGTGCTGTAACCCATAGCAGCCAGTCAGATATCATATTTGCTTACTGAACAGCATTTAGGGCAATGAAAGGTGATTTGCTGTGAGTTACCACACTGGTTCATATTGTTCTTTGTCTTATTCAGTTAAGGTTTTAAAGTACAGGTATGTATTTTCTAGAATCTAAGATGGGGGTAGTAAGATTTAATGTTAGATTTTTACTTTTAAAGGGAAACTATAATTTTACAAATACACATTTAATACAGGACAAATGATTCTAAAAGCATAATGGGTTACTTAAAGAGAAGGATGCTTGTATGAGGCTACTTGTGTTTGATTGAAATCTCCTAGTAAGCCATCTGAGAAGGAATAGGTCCCTGCTGTGGTAGCTGAATTAGGTCCTTTTGGTTCAACACAACTGACAGAGAAAATAGCTGAATATGGGAAAAGGGGTCTGGAGGTCCCTTAGTGGCTGCATAGAAGACTGCATAAAAACATTTTGCAATATTGAATATTTACCAACTAAAACAAGCATAAATATTTTTTTAAATATCAAAATGTTTATTTTGATCAGTCGTAGCCATAAAAAAAGGAAATTAAATGTGTACAAAACCACTATTCATCTTAAGTACAGAAGAAGAAGGGCCGAGGGGAGATAGAAGACAGGGTATTTGTGTAAATACATGTTTGAATATGTGAAAATCCCAGAGACCATTAACAATTATTAGAATTACGGATAACAGTCAATACATAATTGATAGAATCGGACTACAAAACCTTGATGAAGTTCGATATGGCTCCCTCCAGGCCCTGTAAGTTAGTTTCAGAAGTATATCCACTGTGTTTTAGAGACTTTGGTCAACTGGGGCCCATGTATCACATTTGTTGGCAATGCCCTAAGGTCTAGAAAAGTTAGATAAGAATCCAATACAATAAGGGTAAGAATTACAATACAATATATTCTGTAACCCAGGCTCACATTGCCACATTCCCCGAGATTGCTTAGTTCTTAAATGAAATCAGAATCTTCTCAAATTTACCAAGTGATTGGTTTTCAATATATTTCTAATTGCAAGCAGAGTGATAGCAAAGAATTGAAAGAAACCCACTATTTCTATATATTTTTCAAACACAAACTAAATTGGGTGATGATCAATGATAAACTCATACGTACTTTACCTAATACACAAATCAAGTTGGAAAAGACGTGAGACCCATGAATTTAACACTTTTTACTGGATCATTGAGGTTTGAGGGGATTCCCTCATCTCTTCCTTTTCCATTTTCTATCCTTCCATTCTCTATCCACTTTCCGACTGGACCACCACCCCAACTTAAGTGGGCCTGGTCTTAGGTTAAAGTTTCTACTGTCATGGAATGGTATGTCTAACTTGTGCATGCTATTTGAAGCAATGTATGTATATCATACTCTTGACAATGTATAAAGATCAAATACTTACATTACAGGTATATATACCTGTAAATGATTACATTGCCAATTTCATAGTTTGTTAAATGTTCTACTTCAAACCAATGAATGAAGAAAAAATTAATTACCCCTGGTATGGTTCACATCCTTTAAAATACCCTTTAATGTAAGGGGCAAAAAACTCCAACTGTGTATGATATTTTCTAAACAATCCAATATATTTTTAACATCAAACAAATTAAGTTATGTATGATTACCAAAATTTTAAAATGTTTTGATGAACCTACTAAGTAAGCAGAAGTATACCATGAACCTATAAGAACCTGAGGGATACAGCATATAAAGAAAGATGGTTTATATAGAGTACTGAAAGTCTTTTTTTATCAGCCTACTTCTGAGAGCAACCACTGAAAGGAGAACAGGCCGCATAAATGACATTTAGCAGAGGGAAATGGAAGGCTTGTTGATGAAGGCAATTTGAATTCCCACTGCTTAAAACTGGTCAACTAAATGAAGTAAACCCAATTTGCAGGCTACATGTTTATTAATAATTACAGTGTCTTATGTGTCTGTGTCCACCCTTTTCACTGTATACTGATACCACAGTTTACATAGAGCAAAATAGTGACTACTCACTTTATTATCATAGGAAGAAACAATTTCCCTGGTTTAGGTCTACTTACCAATGACATGCCGAGAAAGAAGTATTTTTCACATGTGCCTGTGACAAAAGGGGTTTATATTTTATGAAATAATTGCATAGTGGTTATGTTTTGTAGCCAGAGTTCCTCCATTCTCTCTAAATAGGTGACAGATGGCTCTCTAGTTGCATGTTTAACAGGTTGCTGCTCTGGCATCAACCGTGTCCTTCTGTTGTTTACTTTGTCTTATGAGTCGTTATTTTAATTTAGGTGCAACAAGAGTCACTTTAAGTGTAAAAAAGTAAACAGGCTTTATCATCTGACTTCTTTACCTCTTTCTAAGATGAAGGTTAAAGCAGAACTACAACCTACTATCTCTTACAGCCAAAGAAGGTGCCATCTTAGCCTCTATTTGGATTGCAGTTGCGTGGTGCTGCACATGTGATCAACTATGACACCAGGGCTTGAAAGTTTGGTGGAGAGCTGAAATAAGCACACTGGCAACCTTGACAGTTGGCATGCCTTAACAGTAACTGTTTTGAGAGACAAGGAATTGGTGGGTAAAGATCAACTTTAAGAGGAGTTGTTAAAAGAGAACTAAACCATTTAGTTAGTTTGCTTTTTGGGTCGCAGGAGGACACTTACTAATGTCCTCCTGTGAGCCCAAACTCACCAAATAGCTGGCTTTGTCCGCTATATGCTAACACAACGCAGTGCCAACCTGCAGCAGGGAAAGATTCCAACAATATTGTCAGGATCCACCCACTACCTAGTTCACAGCTGGCTCTGCTTATCTAAAGTCAGAGTCAGCTGTGCCCGCTCCCTCCCCTGTATGTCCTTCGAGTCAGAGGGGGGATCCCTGTGGGGAGCGGTGGCTGTCAGTCATATGATACCATAAGAGATTTACTCTGCTGGACACTCAAACATTCATGGAGCATTCATTGGAGTTTGTCCAGCCCTTGTACACAGGTAGCCATTGCTCCTTAAAAATTACAGCTGGTGCCCAACATTCCAGTTTTTCTCTAGTTGTTGTCAATGGAGCTAGCTTCTAAAAAAAAATGGACAAATTGGTTGGACGAATTGGCTCCTGAATTCCATAGTCATTATTCCACCCCTGTTATAGGTGTGCTTTTAGAATAAAATCCAGGAATGTGGTCCTTGGCCTAGCAGCAGTAAGTGTAATATATTAGTGTAACTTATATGACCTTCCTGTGTGGCCTGTCTGTCACAGTGAAGGTTTCCTTCCTTTAGCCCTGATTTCCTATAGGACAACCCAGAGTAGGCATTAGTCTAAGGACAAGGATCAATCTTAGAAAATAATGACAGACTTTTATTTAAGTACATGCAGCAGGTGGAATGCCATCACTTTCTATTGCGTATATGCAGAAAATCTAAACCAATGGGGTAAAAGCTCTACAGCCCATGGTGTATCATGTAAGAAGAGGGAAGATAATTACATACATACATACAGCGTTATCCAAAAACAGCTTATTATAAACACTTACTGAGACTGACAAATGCCCGGTGCTGGGTCGTACTGTAACAATGCCAAAGCTGTAAGAGGCCAACGGTAATTCTGATTAGTGTTTTAGTGGTATTATGGAGAACACTGTTAACGTTATATAGGGTGTATGTTTACATGAGTACAGTAATGACCAACATTATAAATAACCTTTTTTTAATCATCAAATTTTTTTTTCCCAGTGATTAAAACAAGATTACAAACATTGCAGCGAGGAGTAAATGAAGATACTTACTCAGGAATCATAGACTGTGCCAGGTAAAATGTCAAGCTGACAGAGGTAGTCCATTTATACACAAATATGGCCATCTGTATTTGGCCTTTGGCTGTGACACATACTGAAGGAGAATGCTGTTGTCTGTTTCAATGGGACTGTTTCAAACTTGCTTCTGTTGGGCATTTTAGTAAAGTCCTGTACATAAGCATATCCAATTATCAAAAATAATCACAATTGCCTTCAGAAAACTTTCATCATGTTGGATAATCTGTGTGAACAATAAGAAAGTGTTTCCTTTTCCACAAAGCAATTGCATTTATGCTTCTACTGTGCATGTTCTGGTGCTTAGTATTGGCAAGCTGAAGAGGAAAGTTAGCAGGTCTGTCACAGGGGTGAAAAAGACCATGATGGGCACATCTCATATCACCTGTCATTACAAGTAACAGAATTTGCAAGTATTGAGCACCCTGGGCTATATAAAATATTGAAAATAATAACCAGTTAAAAAAATGTTTTCTAGCTGTAAAGAGTCCTGAAAATGCAAACTAAATTATTAAGGAGCATGGAGGAAAGATTAGCTGAACTGAAAGCACAATTCTGGGCACAAAACAAAAATCCTTGCAGTGCCATCAACCACCCCACCCACCCAGCACTGCAAGGGTTATCTCATCGTTAAATCTAGGAATGCAGGAATAAGGAGTGATACTTACTTCACGCTTTGCTCCAGTAGGCTCCTTCTATCTATGTGATAGCTCTCGCAAAGCCTTCTCTCTAAGGTGAACCCCGCCATGGTCGCATACTTGCCTGCTCCAATACAGTGCAGGGTTAATAACTAGCCCAGAGCATCAGGGAGAAAAGGAAAGTGCTGGAGTGGGGAGTAAGGTACGTAATATCTCCTATTTTTGCACCCCCCTAGACCTAATGAGGATTCAACCCTTACAGCGCGGGGAGGGGGGGTGCACTTCATGGGTTTGTTTGTTGGGCTTCAATGTGTTATTCCTTGAGAAGAGGTGATTACAACTACTCTGTTGGTGGTTTTAAGACATAAAGCTAATGCCCCCCTGCACAGCAAGCAGTTGATACCTACCTGACCCACTACCTGTGCTGCTGAACTCCTCCAGTTGAAGAGAGAAGCTTTGCTCAACATTTTGTAACATTCAACACTTCCTGGAGTGTCTGATGCTGGTATTCCTCGTTGCACTCTGTGGGTTCCTCTGCTTGCCTCTACATCACCACAGGACACAGGATCGGAACCGCAATGCACAGTGCCGGACCAGGCATACAAAACACCCAAAAGTGTGCTGGATGCTGAAGATCTTTCAGCAAGACTATCTCAACAACCCAATTGAATTTTGAGGCACGGTCTGCAGGACAATTAAGTGTTAATTGCTTGATTTCCAAGGAGGCATTTGTTCTATGTTTTAAAAATAGCGACAGAGTTGTTTCAAGGGGGGGATATATCACCTTATAAAAATGCTGTTTCATATAGCTTGGTGTAAAATTGTTGACTTTAAAGTCATAAGACAAGGGGGCCCTCTTGGAGGAAGTGTTTAACCTACTCAGGAAGGCTTCTTTGCAGTGAGAACAGTAAAAATGTAGAATAGATTTACTGTAAATGCACAGAATACAGCTGGCCAATAATATTTATAATAAATAACCCTGTAAAATAAACTCAATGGAAGTGTCTTTTTTCAAACTGACTTACTATGAAACTCTGTAATAACTGCATAGTTTGCATATGTGCTTAGGAGCTGTGGGCAATGTATATGCAGTTCATTCCATGTCTTCTGGCAATGCTTTTAAACTTTTGCAAGCAGCTGGAGGTAAAGACAATTTAATATTTTTGCCCATAATCAGCATTCTTCTTTCATTCTTCAGGCTGCAAAGAAAAATGACAAGTGCGCTTTGGTTACTATGGGCAATTGATTGGGTCCTTCTCTTCATCTATTATATATTATTCTCTCAAGGGCAGATCATAAAGTAGGTCAGACTTGGAATAAAGAGCAGCTCTGTCACACAAAGACATTAGCCCATATTTTATGTATGTGGCTGCGACTGATAGCGTAAAAATATTCAGTGTACTGTCACCAAACCCTGCTTAGTGAGCCCGTTAGGCTGGGCACAGAACTTGCATAGAGTACAGTAAACACTGGAGTTTTGTTAAAAGAAGGGAGGAACATAACAGAATTGGCCACTCAATCCACAAATGGAGATGGATCAGATATCAGAATTGCTAGTATGGGCTAGTCATAAAGTGCATCAGTCATGTCATTGTATCCTGGTACTGCGCTGTCATGAATAGGGATTAGATTAATGTTAAGGTCACAGAATTGGGGATTTGGTTTAACTTTATTGTCCATTTAGACTTATACATTCCAGTAACATGTTAAAACATGGATTACCGCAACATGCATCAACGCATACGTCCTAGCCAAATTCAACTATTTACTTTAATTTTATGTAAGGATACATTTAACTATTTATAAAGGAATGCCTAACTACATTAAATCGTGTTGATTATATGCATGGAGTTCAGCATTATGTGTTTAGGTAAGAAGAATTTGTCAAGGAACAGAAGGTGAGAGGAAATCTCCCAAAGGCTAAACCAGACAACTGACAACTAGAACAAAAGATTTTTGCTTTACATATACCTTATGGGGATGTAAAGTCAAAGCTTTAGCCAAAACCTTGTTTGTAGTGTTGAATAGAGCAGAGAATGGTTGAAACAATCCTTAGGTTTTTTTTTATCTCATTAAATAGAAAAAGCACTGTCCCATAATGAGCCTTAGTTATTTGTTGAGGGCTCAATGAGACAAGTGACAAAGAAAAAGTGGCAAAAAAAATGTTCCTCCATCAACATTTTGGGACTTCACAGGACCGCTTTCTTAAGGTGTCAGACAAAACGTGTGCTTTGTCTGTTGTCTTTAGAAAGGGGCCGTATAAGGCCCCACAACATTGGTGGAGGAACATGTTCTTTGGCACTTTTTGTCATGTTTATGCCTTCAAAAAACAACTGTGGTTCACTATTGACGCTGGCTTTTTCTATTTTACGAGCCATAATACGGTATTACCAGTAGCCATGCCCTTCCTATCAGTGGTATTTAGGGTCAGATGCTGGATGGATGTCCCTGTAGGTTTCTCTACCGGTCTGTGTCCTGTTTTGGAGATCTCCCTTCGCTTCCTGCCTCAACAGGATGTAAAAGGAGGTTTCTCTAAAGTGAGGGGATGTTCTTTTTTAGATTTTTGTCACCAGAAGAAGTTTCCCCATTAGAAGATTTCCCCTCACCTGTTTTTTGCGACCAGTCCAACATTTTGGATTTTCCATCACTTCCTGTACCAGAGATAATGGTCACCAGGACCATTCAGAAATAAGAATCAGACAGAGGATCTAATGCAGCCCCACTCTATTCAAAACTAAAAAAATAACTTTACATATGCTTTCAATTTTGGGGATTCTTTAGCATTAGGGACAGATGAGGAAACTTCTTTAAGTTTGAAGCTTGTTTTCAGTTTCAAAAGACCTTAAAGTGTATCCATAGGCAAAACGTTTTTTGTAGTTTTGAATAGAATGGTGAGGAGTTGGATCTTTTTAGGATTTTTTGATATGTGTGTCCCTCCTAGAAAGATTAATTCTCTTTGTCCTGGTAAGCACTGTCGCTGAGACTGAAAGTGAGAGAAAAAACACAAAAAGTTGAGTTCACAAGAACAGCAAAAGAAGGTACTGTATATCTAAATCTGGCTATGCACCTATAGATTATCTGCAGATTTTCTATGGTCAGATGGAAAAAGTGCAACAGATTCCTCCATCTACGCTAAACTGTGTGGATGGATGAATCTCCCACTGGGCCAAGCTTCAGTATCTTTCAAGTCGCCCCCGCTTGCTCTCAAAATACCTGAACAATGCCTGCATCCAATCAGATTGTTTAGGTATTTTGACAGCCAGTGGGGCCGACTAGCAAGATACTGAAGCTTGGCCCAGCAGGAGATTCCTCCATCCATACAGTTTAGTGTAGATGGAGGAATCTGTTGCACTTTTTCCATCTGACCATAGAAAATCTGCAGAAAATCTATAGGTGTATGGCCATCTTAATGGGGACATTTGTTCCGGTGACAGCTGGATTTACCTCACATTGCAAGGATTTCCTCAAAGTTTTCTGTTGTGTCTGCTGGACAGAAAGTGAATTCTCAAATTCCAAGTCCTGACAGAAGTTTTAACTCTAATAAAAAAATGCAAAAAATGTTTGACTTACAGTAAATTTGAGAAATATGTTGCATCATTGCAAATGGTTGAGGTGTGTATAAGACCTAGAATCTCTCATTCAACAGTTTTAATTGCTGCTTATTTGCCATGTATTGTACTGGAATTTTGTTTCTTCAACATATGTCTTTATATTTTCAGGAAGATCTGGAGGAGCGAGGGTCCCGCTGCCTTCCTGAAGGGGGCGTACTGCAGAGCCCTGGTTATTGCTCCACTTTTTGGCATTGCACAAGTCATCTATTTTGTAGGCATTGGTGAATTTATCCTGGGCTTCTTACCCTCCAAGCGTGATTAACGACAACCTTCAGTCACCTTCTTTTAGCAACACCCTAACTTCAGCTCTTCTTGCCACACAGCCCACGTGTGGACACTTCCTGGCCCTGCCTTTTGTCACTTGTGGGTTCATAAGCTGGAAGACCTTCTTTCACAAGTGCGATCTGTCCTGAATACCTGCAGAGCCTTGCAGCTAGTTAGGTAGCATTCCACACTGGCAAGCAGGACACAGTGTTAAACCTGACAGGCAAGAAAGCTGTAGTACGTCTGGTTGTTATGGCTTACGTTGCTGGAACACATTTTGTTTTATTATGTTAAATGGTAAAGGTCTCTGATTCAGACCTAACAATCATGTTGTTATTTTAAGCTCTGCTGCATGGACCTGCAACATGCCGTACGTGGAAGGCCACGTCCACAATTTTAGATGGTTAATTTATTTGCAAATTTAAATTGTCAGACATCAATATGAATAGTTGAAGCAAGCAAAAAACAATGATGGGGATTGTGATTTTATATGTGCTAGGTTTACCAGAGAATAATCAGGATACCTACTGTTAAAGAGTACATGTCATGCATACACATATATACAGCTTATACTCTAAGCCTACTAGGCAACTAGATATTTTAAAAAAATTGATAGGCTAGTGCAAAAATATACTCCAATACACAAAATAGTTCTCTTCATTGTATATAGTTGATCTGCTTGATTTAAAAAATAACTCCGGCAAAATAAAAATGTACCCTTGCAGTGGGGCTACCCTTGCACTGCAATTGTTAAGTGCTTGTTTTTGCTAGGGGGCTCAAATAAAGCAGATTTACTCACCTGATCCTCGATCCCGCCAGGCTGCTAGACCTGTGTGTGTAGCCTCTTCTCCCCTCTAGGACCTCTAAGAGCCGCTAATGTAATCAATTCTTATGCAGGTCTATTGACTCGCATTAGACGTGAGGACTCCAAGGGACATTCCAGAGTGAAGGGGGAGAGAGGTAAGCGGCAACCGACCGAGGATCTCGTGAGTAATACAGCTTTATTTGGGCCCCCTAGACAAAATGAGCGTTTAACCCTTGCAGTGCAGAGGGAGCCCCACTGCAAGGGTAAGTTTGTGATTTTGCCAGAGTTCCTTTTTAAATGCTTTTAAAGGAGTTACTGTTTAGGACCAAAGTACTGTAACAAAATTTGATATCTATAAGTCTTTGTTTGATCATTCCTTTACCTAAGTATGGTATATTTGGCAGATGCACTGGATTCCAGTTACGTGCCACTAGGCCACTTTATGCTGTGTTGTAATAACACAGAAAGACATTTGACCTCATGTATAAAATATGTGAAATGTTTATGTTGGTCATGTCAATCAGAGAGATTCTTCTATGTACTTTTAGCATGCTTATGAAACGACAGCCGCAATATGATTGGTCACTGTTGGCTACACAGAACTTTTTGTCTCAGACACGTTTTATGTATGAGGCCCAGTTTAAAAAGTGCTGCCTAATTACCTCTAAAGTGTTGTCACCCTAGGCCCCCTAAAAGTGGAAACTCCTTCAAAAATATTTTACTTTAGATAATTGGATAAGTGCTACAATCTGTGTCCATTTTTTTTGCTGTCTTTGTTTCAACTGGGGAAGCTGTTGGCGGTGTTGTCACTTAGCGCCCCAGTGATGGTGGCACTAGTCACTAAGACAGGAATTAAGTGGAAATCTTTCCAACAGAGACACAAACAGCAATTGCAACATTTTTTTAACAGTAAAAGGAAGTGTTAATACCACTGCCATTTTTATTGTTGTCTGTGTTCCCTTTGTGGAAAATGCCCTCACTTCCTATTTCATGGGCAGTGGTGACTGGAACTGAAAGGCCTCATGGACACGGACATGCTATTATATGCATTTGTAGGACATTTGTAAACACATATAAATGCATGTAAAATGTTAAATGGTGTACCTCATTCACACTGTATGTTTACTTACAGTTTAACTGTGTTTAGAAAGAATAGAAATCTGTGCGTCCAGGTTAGATTAGATACTCTGAACGTGTGTAAACGCTGTAAAAGCAATGTAAACACAATGCATGTAAACACAAATGCATTAAAACACAGTAGAATTTGATCTGGGAAGTATAAACTTTGTTTATACTTCCTGGATACATTTCTCCTGTATTTAAAGGGTATCTATGGTGAAACACTAAAAATCAATCTATAGTTCTAGTAAATTTACATAGGATGGACTTCCTAAATGCACTGAAACAATTTCACTCAGCCCTGTGAGTACATACTACCTTGTGTTAGAACCCTCTCAGAGCCTGCCTTCTGAAGTACAACTAAATGTCTGAACAATGTAACATTATCATTGCTTTCTGGAAGCAATGCGTTATGGGCTTTGTAGTCTTGAGAACTGCAGATTGCATCACATCAAGTTGTTGAAAGTGATGGGCAGACAGAAGGCAGCACTCACTACATAAAAGGGATGTTTTCAAGTAAGCTTTGATTGCATTATGAAAACAACTCTAGTATGTATTCCTATTACAATTCTGATGTTATAGGTGATTATATGCTGGGACTTTACAACTCCTAAATTATACAAATGCTCGCTGCGCGTGTAAATCAGGGCTAACCAGGAGTAAATCTCCCCATTTGGTACTAAGACAGCGAAATAAATAAAGGTTCTAACCCCTTCCCACTTTATCTAAAAGTAAAAGAAAAAAATGGCTAGAGTCAGACTTTAAGTACATTGATTAGAGAATTACAGTCATTTTCTTGACCCCTTAAAATTCAAGTATATTTGGTAGGGTACATTGTGGAGCTATAACTATAAGATGGAAAACGTTTAATACAGCACAAGATTTGGTTATTAACCAAATACAATCGTACTGCCATTGTTTTTTTCTGTGAATATATATGTATATACTGTGGTGTGTAGATGTATTCATATGGCAGAGCAAGCATTACATCTCAGTTTATCATTGTGTAGAATGTTAAAGCTACTAAAGTACAGGACCAAATCTGTTTGTGGTCTCTGAAAACAACAATGTGTTGCAGACCCATGTGGCACGGCACACTATTTAAAGGGTCGGTTCACCCAAAAGTGATATCGTAGTTATAGGTGGGATGTAGAGGACTGAGGCACCTGCTGTCTTATATTTATGGAGGGTAGAACGGGAGATCTCTATCCATTGGGGTGCTCACATTCCTTCTGTTACTTTCTGCATAATATGAAATAGTCAGAAAAATCAAGAGGAAGAGAGGAATGCCATGATGGCCTCAGAAGTTGTGAAGACCTGAGTAATCAAGTACAGAGTTCACTGAGAGATATAGGGAATTGTAGGTGGTTTATTTTTCCAGCTTCTACAGAACACTGAAATAACAAGGTTTTTTTAATGGACTGACTCTTTAAGGACACCCATAGACATAAGAAATATATCTGTCATCCATATGTGATCCATTGTCAAATGACAGCACTGTAAACGGCATCTGCAGCTCATGTTGTCCATCAGTGTTCTCAATAATTACCACCCATTGACTTTTTTTGTATAATGCAGTTAAAATACTGAACACAACAAAACAGTAAAACAACAACAAAAAAACAACAACAGTATAACAACAAAAAAATATTTATCCTGTTTTGTCAGCTCAGTATTTTTTTTTAAATTACGAATGCTGTTAATATCTTTCTAGTGAACCAGATGGTTGTAAAGGTATGTTCATTCATTCATTCACACCATGGGCAGGCTAAACAATGGTTTCTTGGTTTCTAAATGTACATCTAATATCTACGGGCTAATGCTTGGGGGCATATTTATGTGACATTCACCAGGTAGTTAATCGTTTCCTGTAATTTAAAACACATGTATAAGGAAGATTCACCTGTATTAAAATGTTGGTGAATGTCACACTCACTGCCCCTTAGATGTTATTGAAGTCACAAGCATCAGCAGCAAAGTGTACTTTACATGTGTGCAGAGATTGTATTGGTATATTATTTATTTTTTTGTTAAAAACTCTGTAGGTTTGTAGAAAAGATATTTTTTAAATGTCCTTATGCTGTAGTATTGAGCCAAAGCTAAACTATCGAGGCTGCATAGAAAGAAAACGTTTCTTTTACAAATCATTTACCCACTTATTGTGCTATACTTGAAAATTGACCCAAAATGTTCCATATTGTCAATGTAACATTTCAATAGGCTTGTCATAGCTAGGACATGGACATTCTCCTCCATCATAATGGTTAGAGGACTCCAGCCGTCGCCACCCGTCATAGCTGGCTAAAACCAAAACAATAAAACTGCTTAGCTGTAACTCTCTATATAGATAGATATATCTATATAGAGAGATATATCTATATAGATAGATAGATATATATATACTGTATCTATATCTATATAGATATATATTTAGGATTAAAGGAGAACTACAGACAAAACATAAACTTCAGCATGCATCTCCTGCTTCGGGATAACCATTTGGTTCCACATTACAACCTACCATAATATTCAAAAAATCTGATTGTGGCATGAGGACAACTATCCTCAACATGCATGGAAATCCTGCTGACTTGAAAAAAAAGCAATCACACCCAAAATCAATGCTGTTGATTAGTATACCTCATGGGGACTAGATGTGATAAAGTGTTGAAGTGGCCATGTCACAGTAATCAATAGGGAACAGGTCAATGTGATTAAATCACATTCATTTTGTAAGTGAAGAACTACATCTTTCTTACTATGAATAACAAAATGCCGCTCCCTTTCTAGGCAGCCCAGATCACATGTTGTTGGCTACCAATCATTAAACCTTATCAGGCTTTAGTTGTAAGCCTTATACTCAACAAAAAAGATTGGCCCCCGCACTTGGTTATTAAGCCAATCGTTTTCTAAAATGATCAACTTTTATTTTATTAAAAATGTAATTTCCTTTTTCCCTATACATATATACAGTATACACATGGGTGTCAGCATTTATTTTGTTCGTACATCCCATAGTGGTAGCTGTGTAGTGATCCTTTCTATTTTCTCTTTATTCTCTGTATTTTCTCTCTTTCTGATCAGGATTAGATGATATATGAGTTTGAGAAAAATCCTGACAATAAGGAGAAAGAGGAAAAAGAAAAGATTATTATATAGGTGAGATAAGAGAGAGAGAAAGGATCAGATTTGAATAGAAAGGATTACTACACAGCTACCACTATGGGATGTACCTTAAAAAAAAAATGCTGGGACCCTTATGTATACTTGTATAGGGAAAAAGGAAAGCAAACATTTTAATACAATAAAATATGATATTTTAGAAAACAAGTGGGTTGGTGGCCTAGTGTGGCGTCAAGCTTTTTGATGAGTATTGAAATGTAATCTCCCACAGTGGTTTGAATTCTTGGGATCATTGTATATATAATAACAGAGAATCAGCCTGGCACAAATTAAGGAAAAGTGGC